CCAATCAATTTTTGTTTACATGCTGCATAAAAGTGAGCAGATTAAAAAGACTTAGCTGCTGCACCAATTTTTTACAGATGATTCTCAATTTTAATTGGCTAACGACCATGATCTACAAATTTTGGCCTGCATTACATAATTGTTTATATAATTTTTGGCCAGAATTAACTTTTTAACTTTTTCATTCCCAAAATGGAAATTTTTAGAGAACTAGGTTTATATAATAGTAAAATTAGCCCAAGAATATTTTTTACTTAATATGCGGCTGTAGTTTTATTAGTAAAATTTTGACCAAAATTTTTGATCATCGCTTTTAGCCAATCAAAATCAAGAGATCGTTGTCGTTAACCAATCAAAATTGAGAATCGTCCATGAAAAATTGATGCAGCAGCTAAATCCAATATGGAAAATACGATTTCATATAGTAAAAATCGCAAATTATGCTAGATCATAATTTTAGACACCCTAATTTGGGGTTGTCTAAAGCTGTGTACATCTACGTGATATAGAGCCAATAAAATTGTTTGTTTTGATCGACACAAAAAAAAAGTGAAAAACATCATAAATACAAGAAACGAATGCTTAAACCTACTTTGGGCATTAATAAAAAATGTCAGAGAAGCAATTTTACTATAAGATATATCCTCACCCTAATTCTACACTAACCCTTACCCTAACTCTGATTAAAAAGTCAAAAACATATGATCATACATAGATTTAGACGTATTCCAAATATGGAGATCGTCTAAAGCCAGATAGTCACGTGACCCAAGCTATAGTGGGTAGTAGCTTGTATTAGCTATAGCCACAAGGCTTGTATTAACCCTAAGTAACTGGTATGGTATTATTAAAGCCAGGTTGTTGAAGCCAAGTAGCTAAAGTTGGGTAGCTAAGACTGAGTAGCTAAAGTCAGATAGCTAAAGCCAGATAGCTAAAGCCAGATAGCTAAAGCCAGATAGCTAAGGCCAGGTGGTATGCTAAAGCTGGGTAGAGAATGCTAAAGCCAGATAGTCATGTTATTACTAGATATACAGTGTGAGAAAGATTCAAAAGTTGATTTGCTTTAGGTTAGCATTTAATTTTTTGACCAAACTTTTATAGATATTAAGTTTATTAATAAAAGTATATTCATACTAAAATATTCATAGGCAAACTTTTGTCTGATTAGCTGATGTAAATCAGTTGTTCAGGTAACTTATTTGTACATTTTAAAATACTTTTTGCAATATTTCACTAGCAAAAAAATCATAAGGAGGTCTTATTAAAATAACGATTTTCTGTTACAAGATTGAATTCCAAGTCACAAATATAAATTCCTGGTATATAAGACAAAAATGATTAGAAAGTTTATGTCTTACTTAAAGTAATCCAGTAATCATAAAGTAATTCAATAAATTTTTTTCAGATCACAAGATAATATACAAAATTGGCTAATCACAATGCAAACCTGCTATAATTTATCATGTTTATGAAGATTTATAAAGATTTGTGAATATTTTATCACCGGTATTTAATTTTATTTTAGTTTATGAGTATAAAAACATTTATAAATTTAAGTAAGTTTATTTAAAATAAGCTATTCATATTCATAAATATTTGCTATTTAATTGTATTTTTTTATTTAATTTAGTGCTATAAAGAATATTAATTGTCGGGGATGATGCTAAAATCGGATGATGCTGAAATTTTGACTTATTTTATTATGAAAATGTAAAATTTTTTTGGGGTGTTTTGTTTAGCTTTTTTTTCATAGTTCGATTAGAATTTAGGGTTAGTGTTTATAATAAAAGAGTATAGGTGGATTTTAGTAGAATTTATATTTTCAAATTAAGGCCCTAAATTTCAGCATCATTCGATTTCAGCATCATCCCCAATATTAATTAATATAAATATTCAAAACAATCTATATATTAAGTTTGTTGATAGTTCATGAATACTTACTACTTAATTTTATTTTAGTTCATAAGAATGTTTCTTAATCTAAGTAAATTTATTTAAACAAGCTATAAATATATATCTGAATTTCACAAATATTTACTATTTTTTAGTTTGTAAATATAAAGAATACTTATTAATTTCAATAAATTTATTTAAAATAAATTATACTAATTGGCTAGTTAATTTCATTTTATTGATGAGTTTTAAAACACTTTTAGTCTACTATTAATTAAAATAAATTATTCAAATAATTCAATTTCATAAATATACTGAACATTTATTGTTTAATTTCATTTTACTATATTGCTATATTAGTTTTAGTAAGTGATTACAAAGTTTTATTTCATACTCATACTGATTTTTTTATATTTTATGTTCACTGACTAAATTAATACGAATGGCTGATTTGTTACTGATTTTTTACATTTTATGCTCACTAACTAAATTAATATAAATAGAACTTGTTTTGCTAATTTGTTTAACAGATTAATACAAAATTTTGTGGCATATTCATCTAGTTCTAATTCGGCATAACTGTGGCCCACAGCTACTTATTATATATAACAAAACTATATTATAGTAGTATAGTATTATAGTATTGTGTTATTAAAGTATTAAGCACTACAGTCAGACCCTCTAAATGCTACCTTCTTAAGTGCATGTTATATGAAATACCCCTCTAAATGCATGTCTTCTCTTGAGCCCAACTAATATTGCATTTATAGATTTTTATCTCTCTAAATACAATACCTCTCTAATGCCATTTGACTAAATTTTTATATATGGTCCTGTCACATTGTATTTAGGGAGATCTGACTGTATATTATAATATTATAGCATTACAGAATTATAGTATATAATATTTACGGCAATCAAGTAAAATACTATAATTTAGTAATTCTACTAACTATATTTATAACCTTTAATCTGAATAAGTGTTTTAATTCGAGTATTTGATAGTCACAAAAACTTTCTACTAAAATTTACCCTAAGTATATGGAGGAAGTCAATAGAAAAGATACAAATCATCTTTAGTAAAATTTTTTTTAATTTTTAAATTAAAATATCTGAACTATCTAATCAAATTTGATAAAAATTTTTTTATTTTAATCTTGAAATTATATAGAATTAAAATAAAAAAAAAATTATTAAATTTGATTAGATAGTTGTTGAGATATTTAAGTTTAAAGTTAAAAAAACTTTTACTTAAAAAAAATTTGTCCCTTTTCTATTGACTTCCCCTATATATTTAGGAGCATTTTGATTAATTTCTTTGAAGATGTAATTTAATTCTATTTTGAAAAATTTTGGGCAAAACACTGTATAAAAAAAATAAGTTCATTGTTATTATATTAATAATTTGTATTAATTGGTGATTCACTACTCAACCAAAAAGAGCTTATAGTGTAATATGACGTAGTTTATATATAGAAATTAGGGTTTTTGGAATGTGAGCTGCTTCTATCTAAAACTTTTTTCATACTAAGTTAATTATCTTTGGGCCTCTAATTGAAGTTGTAGATCTCGTTGAGATGAATCTAATAGTAGTTGAATCGTCAAAATCTGCTTGGTGGATCATGAAATATTTTTGAAAAATGGTTTACCGACTATGTAAAATTATCTCTTTCGACAATAGTATCACCAAGAGAATTTTATATAGTTGGCAAAATGTTTTTCGAAGATATCTTGTGATCTACCAAGCTGATTTTAATGATTCAACCACTATTAGATTTGTCTCGATGAGCTCTACAACTTCAATTAGAGGCCCAAAAGTATAATTAACTTAATACGAAAAAAAGTTTTAGATAGAAGCAGCACACATTCCAAAAACCCTAATTTCTATATGTAAATCATATCACGTTATACTATGAGCTCTCTCTGGTTGAGTGGCGAATCACTAATTAAAAAAATTAACTAGAGCTATATTTAAAAAGTCGTAAAATTAAAATAAATAATTACTAATAGTTGCATTGCAAATATCCTGATATGCGTTTTTGATTCTATAAATAAAGGTACCACAAATACTATCATAGTATACTGATTAAGTAACCATATTTTTCAGTACATCTCATCTAAAATACTAGGGTATTTTATATAGCATATTTATATTTTTTACTAGGGATAATACCCAGATATTTTGCATGACATTTTTCATATTACCGCATATTAATTTTTATATTACATATATAAGCTTATACAAAATATCTTCACGCAATTTATCCATCATCAAACAAGATGCCTACTGGTATTTTGTAAGTTTTTTGGTAGGTATTTATTTTGTATTAGGCCCAGGTCTTTTAGTCAGTATACTACGATAGGTTTTACAAATACAATCCCTCTAATTCTAGAGTTTATTAATTTCTTCTTCACTTCACTATCAGAGCTCTATAAAATTGATTAATAATACAGGTACTTTGATATATGAATAATCAGTAGAACCGATCAGAAGTGGGAGAGAAATTAGTAAACTCCTAATTCTACTAGGAATTGGAACCGCCTAAAATTTTTCTTAATCATTAATTATTTAGCCATTTAACTGTTTAATTTGGCTAGTATTAAAATAATTCTAGCTCACAACTAAAATAATTCTGGCCAGAACTATAGAGCAACTTTTAAACGGTTAAACGGTTCTAATCTCTAAATTCTATATATAAATCACCTTTAAATGATAATGTAAAATGTGTTTGATCAGTCTATTAAATAACCTTGTATTATTCTATTATATAATACATAAAAAAAAAGAAATATGAGTTAATATTATATAATTAACAAAGTCAAAATTATTAAATTTGATAAAAATAATATAATAAACAGAGTCAAAATTATTAAAATTTAAAAATTTGGATTCAAAAAAAAAAAAATTTTATTTTTTACTTCTTATTATGCAAGACATATTGATCGAACAAAAGCATTTACGCTTTTTTAATATCGACAACACATTTGAAGTCCTAGCAAAAGAATTTGATAGTGAAATTTAGCCTTTAATTTCAAATATTTGGACACACTATAACAGCTAAAAGTGTGCAAATAGAGATTTCTGGACTATATATACTTGCCATTTAATGAAGCACAACAAGTCAAGTACAAGAAAAGATAGAGTACTTGCAAATAAGAGAAGAAATACTAGTTTACATATTGAAGGCATATGCGAAGCAAAAATCAAAATCACACATATAATTGTAACCCAAACTGTTTGAGTTGAACATTTCAAGAATATACCTCATCATAGTCATCAAATCAAAGACAGTGATTTGATTAAAACTCCAGAAATAATTCGACAAATGGTAACCCAAGAGGCAAGTAAGCCTTACACACCAACAAGTATTGTTACGACTATTAAAGTAAGATTAAATTGCTTTTTGGTGGCTTAGCTATCATATACGCAGATTTTTGTTAAGCTAAGATTGAACCTGATATAAAATTTATGCTCCAGGGCACCACCCATCCCATTTTATTTATTTGTACAGGTAATTCAAACCAAAAAAAGCAATCTGATTTTAAATGCGTGAGATAAAAATTTAGTATTAGGGCCTTAACGTTAGAGGCTATAGAGTTAGAGTAAGACATACTATATCATTTCTGTCATTTTCAATTAGTGCGCAAAGATCGATTTAAATATTAGTTTTTGTATATTTTTGCTCTTTTCTTCTTTTACGCATGTTCGGATTCTTTATCAGGCTGATCGGAATACTCAAAATTTACAATCTCCTATTGACTATTTTCTTTCCAAGAGTTTGTATTACCTGTGCAAATAAGTAGATGATGAGTCACCCACTTACAAGATTATTACTGGTTATAAACCAGGTCATTTTAATTAGCCAGTAACTCAGTTGACCCAGTTGATCTGATTGTAGAATAATTTTCTACCGATCTGGTTAATTAAGTAATTTCAGCATCATCGATACATAATGATAAATTACAATTCATGTTACATTATATACTTATATTGTAATTTGGAATATACTGTATATGTTTTCATACAGACTAAACACACTATAGCACTAAACATGTTAGGTAAGTATTAAACAAAATTTTTTTTAATATTGAACATGCCAATATTTATGATGTTAAATTATCGTAAAAAAGTATATAATACATATATCTTTTATATATAGGGATTTAGAGATATATAAGATAGAAATTTGTGTGTAAATTTCTGTTACATATATAATTTTTGCTATATAAATAGTGTTGTCTAGGACTTTAAACTGATTTAGCATTACCAACCTAAAAAATTTTGCCAAAAAAATTTTGCTGTTAGATTAAGTTAGGTTTGCTATAAAGTTAGGTTAAAAAATCTTTAATAATACAAAACTTGTGCACAGAAGATGGTTTTATAGATAAAATGTTGGTTATAAGCGATTTTTTTGGTTTGTTTGATTTTTTGTATTTCTTCTGCATCATACCTGCTCTTGAAATCTAATTGGCTAGTGAAATTTTTTAGGTTAGTAAACTTTAATAGAATGGAACACAAAGTCTAATAATGCTGACAAAATTTTTATAATTCAGATCAATAATCATATGCCACTGCATTAATTAATATTACGTACGTACATACGTATAATTTGAAATTTTATTGAATCTATTATTCCAAATAGTGTTTTGCAAAAAAAAACCGGTCAAAACTGATATTTTTAGTTGGCTTAAAAAGTAGTATTCTACAAAAGGCATCCATACTGATGATAGTATATATGACAGTGTAGTAAAATATACACCAAAAATAGATTTCAATTTGTATTTTCTATGTACTTGTCACCAGTAGCAAGCCTTCAAAGTCCTTTAAAGTTTTTGATTTCAGTTCAGTTCCGGGTCTGGATCCAGTGATTTTAGAGACTTGCTATTGATGACAAGCATACGGAAGATACAAAGTAAAGCCTTTTTCTAGTATAAAGTTTTCCACATTATCATATATACAATTTTTAGTTCGTGCATCTTTAGTAAAATATTATTTTTATGTCTACTAAAAATACCGGTTCCAACCGGTTCTTTTTTGCAGAACACTAATTCTGAATAATAATTTAACCAGAACGACTGAAAAATCATTCAGATAAGCTGTGATTAGGGATAGAAAATTATCATAATTTTATGTAATTTTACGAAATTTTGTGTAATCTTCTGAAAATCAAAATTACATGTAATTTTTATTATGTGAATAATTTTTGCAAAAATTTTTATAATGCTTGTATTAAAAATACAATTCCGAACATAATGATAGATATTTATTAGTGCTGGCTAAACTTTTGTAATATTGGTAAAATTATCATGACAATGTACTATTCAATGTAAAGTTACATTACAATTTTGTAAGTTACAATATAATTTATATGAAATATAACAAAGTAATTTATGTAATACATCCCTAGCTGTGATTAGATTACAGCTATTTTTATAATTCCTAGGACACTTGTAAAAAAATTAGCTGAATGCTTTTTTGGCTAATCCGGTTAAGTTATTATTTTGACATATATGCTAATTTTTATTGAATCTTTTATGCTAAAACAACAACTTAACCAGATCGGCTGAAAAATTATTTGGCTAATTTTTTACAAGTATCTCAGGAATTATGATAATAGCTGTAATAGATATTATATGGGCTACCTGGGTAACAATTGATATAACCAGGTTAACAGATATTATACGGATTAGCTGAATAGCTTTTATATGGATACAATTTCTATATTTAGTATTAAAAAATATTCGAACTCAGACTAGTCTGCAGACTTCAGACCAGATCCAGACCAGACTCAGACTTGACTAAAAAGTTTAAATATAAAAGTCTGAGTCCGGTTCAAAAATCAGACCAGACTCAAACTTGACTAAAGTCTGGTTCGAGTCTGGTCCGTAGAAGCACTAGTTCTCACGAAAACACTATTATAGATTTGTGCATAGTTTAAATTTTTTACTGTTCACTATTAAAAATTTTTTGAGAACAGTAAAATAATAATAGCATTTTTATAAATATATATATAATCAATACATAGTTACTTCGATCATTATATTAAATTTTTTTTGTTTTATCAATTTTTTGTCAACACAAAACAGCGGTTTGAGAACACCAATTATTATTATGCTGTTCTTATAAGAACAGTATTTGAGTCCAAAATTTCAATATTAATCATGTCTTTTAAATACCTTTTTTTTTTTTTTTTTTTTTTTTTTTCTTCTTTTGATATAACTCAATATAACTATACTTAGCTTTTCTTCGGTATTGCCACATATCACACTATAAATTATTACACTGTATTACATCTTGAAGTTCTTTTTTTTTATTTTTTTTTTTATTTTTTTTCTTTTTATTATGATTAATAAGTAAGGTATAATGTATTTACTACCAACTATTATTACAATTAATCAAATTTTTGATTTCTTACCTCGTATTAAGGAACTTGCCCAAAAAAGTGATCTTGGCATGCTTACTCAACACTTAACTCAAAAAGACATTGCTAATATTTAACAAAAGCAGCAAGTGCAACAAAATACCTGTTCCTCTAGCGATCATAATTTTGAAAATGAATTACAATATGTATTTGGTTTTTTGGCTACAAAAAATTATCAAGTAAAACATTTCTATATTGAACGGTTCTGTGGTTTTTGTTTTGCTAATCAAAGGCAAATTGAAAGATTACAAAAGTTTGGATGACCCACTCTTATGGATGCAACGCATGATACTAATAAATATCAATAGCAACTCTTTATTTTATACAATCGAGATAACCACAGTTTCTGGGAGATTGATGTATATATATTTGTGAATATTAAAGATATTAATATGCTAATCTATATACTAAAAATCATTCACGAACTCACCTCCGAATAGCATCCATATTATATACTTTGTGACCAAAGTGCTGTTGAAATAAGTAGTATATCTAAAGTATTTTTGGGGGTCTCCTATAGTAAACAAGAATATAAAGTTCTCTTATGCATGGTTCATGTGATGCGTACATAGATCCAAAAAATTTACCACTTGTCAACTCACAATCAAATGATCCTAGCAATGAATAAAACAACAAAGGTTAATTGTGAAGAAACTGTTCACAATGCTATAAATGCATGTTCTATTTCTGATATTGCTTGTTATCTTAATCGAAATTATACTAAAAATATAGAAAAGTGGACCTTTTGGGCCTGTTAACATTCTCCTTTATTGTTGCAAGTTACTTCTATAAATTCTTTGGAATCTTACCACAGCGAGCTCAAAAAGATCACTGCAATGCAACATGAATTTATTAATAAGTAGTGATGTAAAAAAAATCCAGGCTTGAAATTTAGTATGCAAAGCGCACATTATGTTTAATTGTATTTAAAAAATTATGTATACATACTGTACATTTTATATGTTTTGCTAACACATATATATAGGAAGCGCACATATGCATATCAGATTTTTTTCACTCAATATAAGATAATAGTATAAGTAATAGCATATTCTTTAAATATTTATCTTTAATATTTAAAAAACATTATTTACAGATTATTCTTACCGTCACTCATACATATTCGTTTGTTGACATAGTATCAATTGGATGAATATATATAAGCAATGCCAAGAAAAAGAGCACTCTAATCATATGATTAGAGTGCCTTTTTCCTTGTCATTACTTATATAATAACAATGATCAAAGCCTTGAAAATAAAATTTTTAATACTTAATAACATTAATTTCTTAAATGCCTGTAGTAAAATCGTTAAATTAGATAACAAAAAAAAGCTTGATTTAGAGAAAGCTGCAATGAATTTTTTTTAAAAATGTATCTCAATTTTTGATCTTAATGATAAAATACTCGAGCAAGTTCGTAAATTTTCATATCCAATTCAAAAATTAATGACTAGAGAGATTACTGCTATAAATAAAAGAATTGAAAAAGGAAAACAACCTTTTAACCTAATAACACCAACATGTATTTGCTAATTCTTCTACCATTATTTGATTCTGTGTAAACATATATTTTATCAACATCTTTTTGGTCACAACTCTAATACGTTATTAACAATTAATATTTGAGAAGAGTTTCAGAAAATAGTTGCAGAAGAAGGTATAGCAATATATAAAAGTAATAAAACAACTAAAGTTTTAATATCTGTTCAAACCTTAGAGAAGAAAGAGATGGAGACACATAAGCTGTGTATTGGCACGATTGTAGAAAAAATATATGACAAATTTTGTATAGCTGAAAAGGATAGTAATGAAAATCTTGCTGCTGATTTTATTAGATGCCTAGATATGTCTTTAAGTCAAATTCTTGATTAGCAAAATTAATATCTTTTAAGCTAAATATCATTGAAATGTTAATAGTCATATATGCATAAAAAAAGAAAAATAATAAACTATACAATTTGCTGCTTCTAAGACCTAGATAGTTTGTATTTA